GGGTGTTACGGTTGAGCTTTTAAATCTTTGGTACCCGTGGAGTAATAAAGGCTAAAAGAGAGATTTATTGACCCATGAACCAAAAGTACAATGTATTTAATGCACTTAAGAGGCACGCCTATTGGGAGACGAAATTTGACGGCTTGACCACTTTTTTCACGTATTCCAATGTAAAGACATCATTACTTTCTCATCACTCTTTTCACGTATTTCTTTGTAAACACATCATTACTTTATGGGAAAGTGTAAAAGTTTTTGAGAAAGTGTAAAAGTTTATAGAAAAGTGTAACTTAAATAAATACTTTATGAGAAAATGTAAAGGTTTATGGGAAAGGGTTAAAGTTTATGGAAAAGTGTAACTTAAATAAATAATTTATGGGAAAATATAAAAGGTTATGGAAAAGAGTTACAGTTTATAGAAAAATGTAACTTAAATAAATACTTTATGAGAAAGTGTAAGAGTTTATGGGAAAGAGTTAAAGTTTATGGAAAAATGTAACTTAAATACTCCGTAAATACTTTATGGGAAAGTATAAAGTTTATGTGAAAGATTAAATGTTTATGGGAAAGTGTAATAATTTAAATAAGAAATATTTGCCCTAAATAGCACTAAAACTTAAGTCATTTCTCTAAATAGCACTTAAATTGTTTTATTCCCTGAATAGCTCTTAATGATGTCCATAATATCCGTGATGACTAATATTTACTTGAATAATGACTAATACATAATGACTAAAAGTGCTACATTGGGAAGAAAAAACACATGTGGTGCTATTTAGGGAAAGTCATTATGTTTTAGTGCTATTTAAGTAAATTCCTCTTTAAATAAATACTTATAGAAAAGTGTAATAGTTTTTGGGATATAGTAAAAGAATGATATGACTTTACACTGAGAAGCGTGTGATGGGGCATTGATAATGTCGAATGCTTTGGACCTATTTTCATTAAAGAAAAACCGTTTTTCTAGAGTTATTTTCAAATCACATCTCATCCTCAAGCTTTGTGTTTGACTTGACATTTTAATAGATTATGTGTTATTGTACGCTATTTTTGTTCAACATTTATTTTCACTTGATTTAGAAATATAGTGTACAGGGAAGTCTTTCAAAACCTTTAATTTCATTTTTTTGTCTTAACTATGCATTCCTCAATATTAGTATATAATACTTTTAACATTTATGTTGAATACAATTTCGTTCTGTTGTCTATATATAAACTAAATTTATTTTTTATTTTCTTTCACTGACTCAGAATACTGTTCGTGCAATGCACGGGGTTAGAGAACTAGTTTCTATATAAAATTATTTAAGAATAATTTTAATCAAATATCGTAAATTGAAACATGCAATTTAAATTGAAATGGATGGACTAATCTTTTAACTCCTACGAACGGGAATTTCTAAGTTTTTTTTTTGAAAACTTAAATGGATTCTAGTAGTTCGAGCCTAAATAATAGAGCCGAGAGTCTGAGTAATTAAAGAGTTTCTTGTACCATTTATCACAGTTTTTCAAAAAATTGCATGAATTCCTTCCGAACTTAAAAATTTGTACTAGTGGTCCCTGGACGTTTAAAAACGTTGCGTCAATGGTCTTTCTATGCTAAATTTGGGAGTATATTAATTACATGCTCGTCCAGTGCTAGTGTGGATTCATCTAAACTCATATATCACATGTTACTTCTGCAATATGATTTCCATAACATTATCTTCTAAAAATGAATACAAAAGATCTAAAAATCTGATGCTAAAACTAATTTCTATAGTAGTGTCAAGCATCAGTCGATCAAGTTTTTCATCAACCGATCGATCTCTTCATCAATTCATAGCATCTTCATCACGATGTTGCATGTATATTGATGAGCGACTGATTAACGTACTACCAAATCTAGCACATAAGGGCTATTGATGCAAAGTTTTACAAAATTCGGGGATCATTGATGCCATTTTTAAAATTTTTGAGAAATCCGTATAATTGATGCAAAGTTTTACTTTTGCTTTGAAATTCTTCATAATTTTACCAATTTAAATTACCAAATACGGAGTATGCTATTAGTTTTTTTATTTATGCTATTAGTTGAATTCTGGAATTTGAAGACTAAAACATAGACTTTAGACACTGGACTTTTGACCAATAGAGTTTCGAGTTTGGTTAAATTACTCATTTTAACTAAAATTTGAATATTAAAAAAACGGAGCCTCATCCCGGAGGGCTTCTCAATTACTGAGAAGTGAAAAATTGGATTTAGATCGTAGATTGGTGGCAAAGAGTGGAGTCTGCATCTGATACATATTAAGGCTTTATGCCTAGCATAATTGGCTTACAGTGTAGTTGCCACAAATTGAATTCGTGTCTTATCTCTTAGCATTATTTGTCATTATCAAATGCGCAACGTTCACCAGCAACTATTTGAATATTGATTCCAGAGACCGAAAGATTTTTTTGAAAACTAGAAATTTGTTCTGGTAAGTAGAGTTTGGATAATAAAGCAAACTAAAAATTGAAGATTAAAAAAAATCTTTGAAGCTAAAAATTGAATAAGCTAGTATTCACCTTAGTATTCACCTAACTCTTAGGTCTTTACTTTTGCTTTAATTACCATAAGACTTTGCTTTTGCTTTGAAAGTCTTCATAATTTTACCGCTTTTACCTTATTTTGATGATACGTTTTAAACTACCATGTCACTACCGATTCACGATAAAGCACTGCGGAGTAATAATTTTGTATCCTATATATATATATATATATATATATATATATATATATATATATATATATATATATATATATATATATATATATATATATATATATATATATATATATATATATATAANTATATATATGTAAAAGAGAGCTTAGTTGTTGCAATGTTGACATGTGGCATGCCACATGTGCACCCATTTATGAAGTGGATATATGCATTGCACCTATTTTAAATATCTTTTAATACACTTGTATAAAATTTTTCATTCCTTAATAATTCTGAATATATATTTCACCATTGTAAAATAAACTTCGTATTTTGAGTACACACACATAAAATTATTTTTATACTATCCACAGCTTATTTTAGTTTATTACTTCTCGAAAAATGATTGTATAAATTTAAAGGGTGACAACTGACAAATGACATTATGACACATATATATTCTCTAATGATGTATCATTATGCATGTAACTGATCCACTTTTTATTATAATATTTTATTGATTCAAACCATTTCTATTTAGTACTTAATTCAATGATTATTAATTTTGTAAAATTGTTTTTTTAAATTAACATACCAATATACTCTGTATGTTCCATCAGTCTAAAACATTTTTTGTCACTATTAGAAACTAAAACAACTAAAATTATATTTATAAAATCTCAAAAGTTTAGAATATATACGAGCCCGTGCGAAGCACGGGGTAAACACTAGTACTTACCATAAGCCGGACTTTACTTTTGCTTTGAAATTCTTCATAATTTTAACGTTTTTGCCTAATTTCTAAGATGTTATCATGCATCTCTTCACAATAAAGCATTATAATTATGTATTTGTTTTTTGAAGGTATTATAATTATGTATAACTACAATAAAACTTTACTTTTGCTTTGAAATTCCTTATAATTTTATATAATTTTTACTTTATTTATATGATGTTATCACGCATCGCAGGATCGGGTTAGGGGTGGGTCGAGCAGCCCAACCAGATTGTACCCATTTATTTTGGGGCCCCAATATTTTTATGTATCTTACAGTTTTTTAAAGATTAGCCTAAGCCAAAATTCAGGGTAAATTTCACCAATGGTACTTGAACTTTAGCTGGATTTTGAAGTGGTACCTAAACTTCAAATCCTTTCACAAAAATTTTTGAACTTACACAATCCTTTAACTAAAAGTCCAAATCAACTTGGACAGATTCCGGCGGGACCAAATCAACTAAAAGTCCATTTGCCCGTTTCCGGGTTAACTTCCGGTCATTTGGGCCAAATTAGAATTTTATATATTTTAAAATTTTCAATTTGACCCCATTTCTTTTTTTCTTTTCTTCCGCTCCCCGCCGCCGTCGCACCACGTCAAAGTCGCCGGAAAATCAACTTGGTCGGATTCCGGCGGGACCAACGTCGTTCTCTTCGTCTTGAGATGATGATCAAGAATATCCAAATCATTTTGTCCAATTTGGCCTGCAACTCCTCGAATTTGAATTTTTCCACTCGAAAAAACCCTAAAATCCGAAATTGAGGGTTTTTGCAAATCGCCATCAAATCTTGCAATTGAGGGGTCCTTGGGGGTCGCCGAGATGCCACAAACACTTTGGAGGGGATGAGCGACGTCAATTTCTCCGAAGATGGCCGGAAAACGCTCCGACCCGCCAGAAGGAGGTGACGTTTTCCGGCGGGTCGGAGCTACTAACTTTTTGGAAAATAAAATATTGTAGGTGGAGAATGAATCTAATCACATTTGGGTGGGTGATAACAAATAATTGATCAACTTGAGCTACTAACTTTGTTGCTCCTAATTCACACATAAAGTAATATATTGTTGTATTGATTTCGTCTACACACTTTGAATTCAAAATCTTTATTGATTCAATTCACTCCATATTAGCGATTTGTTTAGGAAAAAAACTAGTAACTTAATTATTGCTAATATCTTGTCAAATTAATAATTCCATGATTATTTTTTTGTTTGAATTTCTAAACTTTCATTGATTGTCTTATTCAATCCGTGACGTATTGTTTTGAAAAAAAAGAATGGTAATTCACTTATTCACAAATTAGTTTAAAATCGGTACGAAGTATATTTTAATTGGTCGGGGTTAAGGACCTTTTTTGTCTCGTGTCGGGTCATAAAATTCTCGAGACTGGTCCTAATGTATCAGTTCATTGTAAGACATTATACAAAGTAACTATATATGTAAAATTACATGATATCACATATCTGGTCAATGTAATGTGTGACTATCAAATATATTGTACACATTTAATGAAGCTATGATATTTTTGGTAGTTACCTTATGTATATGTTTCCTTTTATATTATCCATTCATTATTGGGATTACTGATTCTAGTATATATTCATGTAATTATTGAATATCGAACCAAGGAAATTATTTGTTCTTCATGGTATCGGATGTATAGGGACCATCCTAGGGACAAATGTTGACGGGGTCGACACCGGAGGTGGCATGATTGGTGGCGTCATGCCGGGATAGGCAAATGGCATGAAGCCACCTGCCTGTTGCATCATGGCCATCACCTGTTGATAGCCCTGTAGAGCCTGAGCATTTGCCGGGTCAGCAGCAAACTGAGCCCAAGCTGACGGGTATGGTGTGAATGCTCCACCAGGCATTGTTATCGAGCCTGGGAACATTGTTGTCGTCGGCGTAGGAGTAGGGGTTGACATGATTGAGATCATGCCAATCGATCCTACAGTGGTGATCGAAGCAAAGGTCGTCCCCATGCTCGACATCATCAATGGGATGGCAGGAGTGCTTTCACTCGCAGCCTGACTTGACACAGCGTTGTAGTTGCTCGAAGACATGATTGTGGATATTTAGTGGGGGTAAAGTTTTGACCTGGTCGAAAAAACTTTAAAAATCAGTCCCACGGTCGGCGCCAAAAATGATGGTGTAAATATAGCTGGGTGGGTTAATCGGGTTTGACCTGGACACACTCAACCCGTAATATAAAACACACAACAAGAACACAAAGTATGACCTAGACCGGGTAAATCTCCTCAGTCCGAATTATATTTCTTACTCTATCTCAAGAGTGAACTTTAGTGAGAGAAAAATTGGATCCCCCTCCTCTATCAAATATCATCATATTTATAGAGGAGGATTTGTGACCCTCCCCTGTTCATCCATGGACAAAATAGGAAGCTCGTGGGAAGGTCACTATAGATAATGGAAGCATTGTACAATCATAGAATTTAGCAACTATAAGCCAAGACATGTACTGTTCAATCAAAGACTATAGATGGATATTCTCAATCCAATCAGCCCTGCAAAGTGACAAACATCCCTTTCACTGTTTGTCTTGTGATGGATGAACGGTGGGGTGGTCCCTCGATCTTTGACGTGGCTCACCATGCCTGAGATACTGGACCAATGTTTGTCAAGTAAGATGATATGACCGGTCACCTTTTTCTCAAAGGTTGACCGGTCATTTCTTGAGCTCAACCCGTCTCTTTGGTCTTCTTGAATTCTTCACAACATTAGGCAACATTTTGGCTATCGCCCAAAATGTGACCGGTCACTTTTTTAGTGGAAGTGACCGGTCAACTTTTGACCCGTCCCAATCGAAGAGTTAACCTCATTTGGTGATTGGTAAAAGTGACCGGTCATAATTTGACCTGTCCCTTTCGGTTGCCAGGGTCGGGTATAGGGATATACCCATCAGGAGCCGTTGTAACCCTATCCGCTCTCCCATCTGTCTCATCGACGGCTTCCTCCTTTGCCGAGCTCAACTTCAAGGCAAAGCTCCCCTCCTCCTTTCTTATCCCTCAACTTCCCCTATTCCCCGTCGACCACCTATAAGTCGACCACAAACAAAATCACAGAGAAGTTCACCTCCACTTCGTCATCAAATCCTCTTCATCTTGCCTTTAACACTATCTTCAGTGTCAAGAACAATGTCCTCATTCAGTTGAGCTTTTCTCAACCTAATTAAAAAAATGGAGTCCACTCTTCTTGCTACTGGCCCATCAATTCAATCTCCATGTCTTTCTCTTTGGATTCAATGTTCCCTCCTCTGCCAATGATGACGAGTGGTTTGAACTTGATGCTCTCATCCAAGGCTGGATTTTCTCCACTATTACTTATGAAGTCTCAAATCTGGTAATCTCCACTTCTTTGATTGCCTCTGAACTCTGGCGTGTTATTTATGATCAGATTCATGAGAGCAAAGAGGCCTGGGCCATGCAACTTGAGCACCAGTTTCGTACCACCATCAAAGGTACATCTCCCATGGCTACTTACTGTCATAATATCAAGAATATTACATTTTGGTTGGATGATGTTGATGCCCAAGTGTCTGAGGCACAACTTGTGCTTTAATTCCTTTGTAGTCTGCAAGAGGATCTCCAAGCCCAGACCTTGTTTTTTCAATTTTAGGATACGCTGCCAATGTTTCTTCAAACCCATTCTGCCTTTATGTTGCTTTATCGCCAGTGCACTACTCTATCGAATGGGGTTGGAATCGCCCTTCTCACGGCCAAGACCGGCTCTCTCCTAGCCAGCAACCCAAACTACAGCGAGAGTAATCAGGAGGGGAGGGTCATACAACGGTGATCACAAAGTAGGGGCAGTGGCTACGGGTGCAGCGGTGCCCGCAGTGGCAGCTAACACGGACGTGGGAAAAACTCTGACTTGAATAGAAGATCAACCAATAACGGCTATGTACCCTGGAACTCATCCCACCCAAATACAAGCCTTGGGCATTTGGGCCCACGACCCACACCCTGGCCGTATCAAGCTTATGCATACTACACTCATCCCACGCCTCTCACCCCCTACAAGTACAACAACCCACCCCCACTCCCTAATCGTACCAGAAACCCCCTACAACAGCCCCCTACCCCACCCAAACCCATCCGTACCTGCCACCCCACAATCCCACACCCACAGTCTTAGCTCATCAACTTGAAACCATGTCCCTTCGAGAACCTACATGGTTTATAGACACGGGGGCTTCTCATCACATTACATCAGAACGAGGTACTATTTATCATGTCTCCTAACTTTGCATTCACCATTATCACTGTTGGTAATGGATCTAAAAGGTGTTCTACGGCCATTGGTAGACATGCCCTTCCTACCACCCCTCCCCTCTCCCTCCATAATGTCCTTATCTTTCCCTCATATCATCCTTAACCTTATCTCTGTTCGTTTGTTCACTCGTGATAATAACTACTCTTTTGAATTTGATCAAAATTTGTTGAGGACTTGTCGTAAGGTCCAAAACAAATTAAAAATTTATAAAATATCCTTAACTAACCCCCAATATATAATCAAATAAAAACTATAGCTAGGGCAAGTAAGGGTCGATCCCACGGAGAAAGTTTGTATTTTTTAAAACCATTTTAGCATGCGAATACGTTGTCATGAAAATAAATATAAAAATAAAACTAACTACTACACATATGATAACAGTTATAAAACTTATAATAAAAACTTATAAATATAACTTATATAAACAAAGAACTTATAATATAACTGAAACACAACACAAAGGGGGGGTTTGAATAAAAAGTAAATATTTTTTGGTTTTTTATATTTTCTTATTTTTTTGGTTTTTTGATTAAATGGGGGCAAACAAGCTCTAAAGATAATCAACTCTTCCAACAAAAGTAACCCAAGAAACACCACCAAGAACCCGAAACAAAATGAAAAAGAGAACAAACACAAATTGAACATTACACGTATAATAGGCACTTAGACAATATATTACGTAACTTACACACTTAAAATAGAAAAAATCAATCAAAGACCGAGTCAATTCATTTCCTTAACCACGATATGGAGGATTGTCAACTCTCCACACAGCCCGGAGTCATGCAATTCAAAGGCCCGTTTTGAAATATACCTTAGAACCCCAACTCTCTATTCAAGCATGAGAACAAACTTCCACTATAAAAAAAGTTTATAAAAGAGAGAATCTATTATGCATTCAATTCTCATACATAATCTATTCACAAACCGTCAATACCTTATGTATTTTAATAAACTTTTTCTCCTAATGATGAGCATATTTCACAGATTTCTATGAACTTCTCAAACCAATGACGTTTTTTCTATTCACATAAATGAACACAACATATTTTCACTAAATCAAGAATTGTTTTTGAGCTTAAACAAACTCAACTCAATGAAAATAACAAACAAACACATGAAAACATAATAATCACTCAATAACGAATTCTAAGAAAAAATGAATCAACTTATGGGGCTAAGAAGTCCAAAATCCTTAAAATCAACGAACACAAGGCACGATAAAGAATCACGTATGAATTCGGAGTTCATTTAACTACCTTATGGAGCTAAAATAGCTTCAACAAAAACCGAATTCCACATACCAACCTACTTATGAAATCAAATTATGTAATTCAACTAATTTAACAACAATTTGCTCAATAATTGAAGAAAAATTAGTTTGAATTAATTCTCATTCATAAAGGATTTAATATAGACATAAAAAAACCATAAAGAACACCAACCATTTTTGGAATTTTATGAAATTAACATAAACTAGGTAAAAAAAGTGTAAATTAGAATTGAAAAACAACTTTTACAAAGAAATTGGAGAAGAAAAAGAAATTGACAAATATAGGGTTACTAATTGTTGAAGAAGATGAAGAAATTGAAGAATTGGAGCTGTGATGGAGGCATAATCAAAGCTGGAGGTCTCCGCCCACCGCCGGACGCCCACCGTCCGCCACCGGCGCCGCGGCTAGGCCGCGGCTCTCTTGTTGTTGTTCCTCGTGTGTTTCCCCCCTTGCCACTTGATGTATGTCGCCCATTTATAGCAGCAAGGAGCGCTATTTCCCGTTGAAAAATTATTTCCGTTGCTGAATTGAATGAGGAGCGTAGGAGAAGGAGAGACGTTGGAGGAGTTACGCTGGTTTTTTTTTCTTCCGTTTGACGAAGAAGAATGTTGCCGGTTCTTCCTTTCTTGCATGCGTGAGATTGAATTGGGGAAAGAGAATGATGGGCTGGCCTTCTTTTGTTGATGATGATTTGGGCTCCGGCCCAAATTAGATCTCTTCTTTTCAAACTTGAACTTTATTTTGGCCTTTTTTGCTACATTTTTCTCCAAAAAATAAGAGATCTAATAATTTTGGGTTAGGGAAAATAAAAATAATAGAATGTAAAAAAAAAGATCAAAAAACTACTATTTTTGAAAGAAAATTAAAAGATTGTAAAAAATAGAAATTAAAATAAAACTATGCTAAACAACTAAAAATTAAACTCTAAAAATCTTAAAAAATGCCTAAAACAGAATAAAAAGAACTAACCCAAACCCGACTTATTAGTTTCCTTGTGAAGGACCTTCGAACATAAATCGTGATGCTATCAATCAAATAATGCTAGCCCACTCTATCCTCTATGCCACCCTATTTCAGCCCACGCCAACATCGCCTTTGTCGATCTTCAAACTTGGCACCGACGACTAGGCCGCCCTAGTCCTGTAGTCCTCTCTGGCATCCCAACTCTTTCTACTTTATTTAAATGTTATCAAAAAACCTTATGTCATGCTTGTCAAATGGGAAAACATGTGTGCCTCCCATTTTATCAGGTTAGGCGTATCTCTTATTTTCCGTTTCAACTTTTACATATAGATTTGTGGCAATCTCTTGTTCCTAGTTAACTTGTTTAAATTTCATATGTTTCTATTGGATGATTATTTTCATTATCTTTTGATTTTTCCTTTAAAACACAAGTATGATGCTCTTATTCATCTTATTCCTTTCGTTGCTTATGTTAAAAATCATATATATACTACTTCTTTATATTTATAGAAATGAAAAGCCATGATCATGCAAGAACATGCGTTTGTGAAGATGCATCCACAAAAAGAAAAAATTGCATGCAATTTTTGGGCTATTTTCGAACATTGAGTTTTTGAACATTTTTGGACTCTGTTCGCAAAAACTGGAGGATTTTTTCAAAGCAAAAACGTATAGCAAATAATTACATGTGGTATATTGTATATATTTAATATAGTTATGATATTCTTGATAGTTACCTTTTGTATATGTTTCCTTTTATATTATCCTACCATTATTAGGATTACTAATCCTAGTATATATTGATGTAATTATTCATTGTTGAATCAAGGAAATTGTTTATTCTTCAGTGACCATATCATGTTAGTTACTAAACATAGATTAGTAGGAACACTACTTCACTAGGGCATACATAAAGTATTAATTAATCAATAAGCATGGAGTAAAAGAAGCACCATGCATGTGAACATAATATGATACTCCGTATTAAATATATACTTCCTACCTAAAACAGTTCTCTTCTAACTTTTTGTATGTCACATGAAAGATATCTACCCTACCTAAAATGTATAAAATACTCTCAAAACATTTTTTACCTTCAATCAAGAACGAATAAGATATATTCACGAAAATTTTATATGGGACAAAAGTGTTTTGTAGGATGTGCAATTTAGTCCAAAGTGACAATTCTGCTCACTTGGTGACGGGCAAAAGGACTATTAGTGAAAGGATCATAGAAATTAAAGTATTTTTATAAAAAGTTTTGAAGTTCAAGTATCAAATCTAAATTTTGTGAAAGTTTATAAGTATCATTCTTGAAATTTACCCGTTGGAATACATTTAAAGAAAACTATGACGTATATATAGAAACATTATTCGGCGCACATGTACTAGTGTTAGAATTTTGATGATTTGGACTTCCTTCGTTGAAAAAAAACTTTTCCACTTTCATTATTCATCCATTCTAAAAGATATTTCTACTTTTAATTAAAAAAATTCTTTTACCCATATTAATTATTAGCCTTTCATCACATCATATCTATGCACTATCAATCGATCTTCACATCTTATCGTACCTTACAAAGACGTTATACTTCCTACAACTTACCTATTCTGATTTAGACTGGCAAATGATATGTCTGATGGGTGTTCAGGTACGTGCTATCTAGTTTACCTGGGACCAAACCTTATTTCTTAGAGTATGAAAAAATAGACTCGTGTGTCTAAGCCTTGTATCGAAGTTGAGTATCGCTCTCTCTCTATTCTACAACATCTGAAGTTATGTGGTTGACCTATCTGTTGACTAATCTGCGTGTTCTTGTTCCTTCAATCAACCTCAATTTTTTTATGATAATCAATCTGTTATATGCCTCACAAAGAATCAAGTCTTCCACAAGCGTAAGATGCACGTAGGGACACACTATCATTTTATTCTAGAACAAGTCATTGCTAGAGGAATGTCTGTATCTCATATTTTCTCTCAAGACCAGCTTGTTGATCTGTTGACTAAAGAATTGCCTTTCTCCGGAGTTCAGTTTTATGGGGGATGTTGGATAGTAATAATAATTATCTTGATTATGGTAGTCTCTATATTTTAGTCAGCTTCTATTATCAATTTTCATATTCCTAGTAGGAATTGTCATTCCTCTTATTCTCTATCATGTATTCCATTATTTCTTGAGCAATACAACTATTCGAGTATTCTATTAATATATTTTATTCAAATTTTAAATAAAATATATTAAAAAATCAACCAAACATAGTAAATCCAAATACCTCAAACAAAAAAAAGAGAACACATCCTTGATTAGTTTGGAATCCGGAGGCTACTGAATTGGGATCCAAACACAACTCAATTTCCAAAATATTTTAGAAATAAATCATTCAAAACATATATATTTTGAATATTCATCGAAGTAATTAATACTAGTGCAGAAGCTTAAGTCATTATTCAAAATAAAACTTTGGAATCAAGCCGGTAAAAGTATTAAGTTATTCAGTAATAAATAATAATTCAAAATCTTCAAATATATCCACACACATCTCTTCTTTCTCATCTCTCTCCGGGATTAGGTCTAGGTTTATTTTGACCTTGGTTACCTACGTGCAGCAAAGGTACAAATGCCACACGCTTAGCGTTGAAGCTAAGTGATAAATATCTAATACTTAACTACACATACAAACGAACTCACTAGCCCATAATCATCACACAATATCATGCACACAAGTATATCATATAAATCATCACAAGCATTGCATAACAGATGATATGATTATCAAACCCGAATATTATATGCTTACGTACTATTGGATTCACTTAACTTATATCTTTCTTTACCTCATAACCTATTCTAGGCTAAGGCTTATTTAATATGACTTGCCTATGGAGTCCTGACCTTCCCCTGGAGAACGAAGGTGGAGCCCAAACCAACTCGAGAGTTCCTCGTTGGGTAGTGAGATCATTGTCCCCTTCGGAACGATAGTTTTTAGATCCCCGTGCTCACGTTTGTACCTGAATAGCGATTAGACCCAGCAGATACCAAATGGCTATAACCTCTTTATACTTATGACGTAACTTACATCTATTCCATTTAGGTCAGTCCTAGAGTTCTTCTAAGTAAACTATTTCAACCATTTAATTTTCATTCAAAATTTCATAACATATATTAACGAGAATTACATATCCAAACATAACCAATTATTATCAAACATCAGCCTCGCATTGGGTATGGATACTCATGCTTACCGTCATGCACATACAAAGTCTCGAAATCAATCCTTGATATGCGAACAAGTTTGTAAATAAAAAAAACAGTTCATGAAGTACCTCTCACAGCACCTAGGTACTGGAAAATGGTACCTGGATACCGGCTCGAACAAAGACCGACAATACCCAATGGCCTGAGACGGTAGCTAGATACCGTCGCGATGGTAAGGGCTACTGGTCGGTCCAATAAGCAGGTACCTACTGTCTCTATAACGCCCTGAAACCCCGCCTATCAGAATTCTTTACTTAAGAATAATTAATTAACTATTAAGACGGACCTAATTTTTGTTTTAAATATGAATTAAGAAAATATAAAAATTATACCGTTGTGTAGTGTTCGACGAGATGTATCCAACAGGGAAGACGAATTTAAATTTGGAGCTAGTTGGCCCAAAAAGGATATTTTAATTGAGGTACGTTATTTAATTACGGATCCCAAAGCCCTATAACTATAAATATAACCCTACATGCCTAAACCTCACATGTGCCATTGTATTTACGTAACTCTCGACCTTCTCTCTCGTGTTCCTTGCCGACCGAAACCGCAAAGTAGCAGAGACAGAGCTGAAGGATGAAGAAGAAGAAGAGAAGGAAGAAGAAGATAAGTCGTGACATCTCCGCCTTTCGTTAGATTCGTTGTTCGTAGCTTTTGTTTGTCGAAATTGAGGAGAGTATGTGGAACTATAACACTAGGTTATATCTAGAGCTTTGAATCTTACGTTCGTAGAATCATTATGGTTGATATATGTGAAACCCTACGTGTGATAGTTCAATTGGATTATTGGTAGTTTGTGGGTTAGATAGTATGAATTGATACATTTATAATCAAGGTAAAATGGGATATGGTTAGGGATTGAACTATGAACGTATTGGTATTGAATGGTATGGATTTAGTGTTAGATTGTTGCTGGAATTGGAGCTGGTGCAGGAACAGAATTATCACACGAGGCGGTAGTGAGGTACCGGCCTACCGGTACCCCAGTACGGCCACAGGAAAAAACCTACTTGCGGAATCTACAATCGTTCGGTACCTAGATACCACACGGACGATAGACTCTACCGTTAGGACGGTAACTGGCAACCGCTATAGGCCACCTGGTGCTAGCGGACTTTGTCCAGGTTGATACGAGGTACCGCCTAGAGGGTACCCAGATACCAGACCAGGTATCGTCTGGTACCACAGAACTATTCCCGAACATATTTTCGTGTCGAGAGTTTATTCAAAGACTGTACGTTGCATGACAGTAAGCATGGGTGTTCACACCCAGCCCTAGACTTATATTTGATCATGTTTGGATATATTGGATATGATCATGCCTATTTTATGAGATATATACTTGTGAATGCAACGTACCATTAAAGTAACATATGAACCTAGAGGAACTCTAGGATTTGACCCGAATAGAATATAGGAAAGTTATGACATATGTATAGAAAGGTTAGAGCCATGTGGCACTTGCTGGGTTTAATGGTTATTCAGGTCAAACATGCGTATGAGGATCTATGAACTATCGTTTCGAAGGGGACAAAGATCTCACTTACCGAACGAGGAACTCTCGAGTTGGCTAAGCTTGGTCTTCGTTCCCAATGGGAAGATCACGACTCCAATAAGCAAGTCAGAGTTAGAACAAGCATATACTTAGAATAAGTTATGAGCCAAGTATGTAAACTAAAGTAGATGAATAAATTAAAATATTTTGAAAATAAAGTTTTAGAAAAATATTTTGGAGATATCATAAATTTAGTTTTGATTGTTTATTTCTAGAAACGCGATCGGTTTTCAATTCGGAATAGTTCAAGGGGGAAAACGTGTACCGTTCATGTCAGAATTTACACAACAGAGTGAGATTTAGGGAGGTAACTCCCCAATGAATTCCACACACCACCCACCATTCATTCCCCTCTTAATTCCTCAATCATTTTCCATTATTTCCCATTAATTCCCCTTTGAATATAAACACCCCCTCTTCCCTTCCATTTCTTTCACCATTTGTAACCCCCACACCACCAACACACTCTCAACCCTACCTCTTCTCTTTGTATTTCGGCCCAGCAGCCATACCATGGAGGAAGGCCGGCGGAGGAGAAGAAGAGGAAGAAGGAGGAGGAGGTGCTGGTTTTGGAAGCAAAATCCCATTAGTCCACTTTGGGCAGAATTTCGACCATATTCAACTCACTATTTGGTCGTGGTTTCTTTACCAAAGTTGTGGCCCTGCGAGTCGGTGAACCACAGCGGCAAACGGTTTGTCAATCGGACGAGTAACGAAGGCGATACGGCCGTTTTACCAAAACTGGTCGAGTGGCGATGGAAAACGCGAGGTTTACAACTTTCGTCTGCATTCTCGTTTCGTCTCATCCATTCCGCTATTTGTTTGGTGCGTGCCGACTCTTCACAACCCCTATAACATATTCACGAGAAGAAACGGAACTCAAGAAGCCGTTTGGTAGTACGAAGTTCCACGGTTTGACGACTGTTCATTGATGCTGTTGATTTGTTCGGTCCCTTCTAACGTTGTGTCATATTCGAGGTATGTACACCCTAGATATAACGGAGGAATCTTTAATATATTTATATGTGAATATTTTTGTTGTTTATATGGTTATTTGTATATAGATTCATTCCATGTTATGTTCTTGATCTATTAAAGTTCTGTAGAGAACAACGAGGATTAGAAACCGTTATGAAATTGAATGATTATACAATGCTAAACAGATGTTTGACTCAAACGTAAACAATAAGGATTTTGAAATAAAAGTGGTATAACGGTTAGATTATGAAGAATATGTTTAGGCTTGAGGAAATACCATTGAATGTCGTAATAGCATCATTTGATACGTATAAGTGTATAAATTTGATATATAAATGAAAACATTGGGAAACACCTAGACTACATTTAGACGATTACATGAACACGTAAATCCATGCCCAAATATATATGTGTTTTACATGTATGAATGAATGTTATTTTGTATGCTCAACTACTTGGGATAATCTACGTTGAATCTGTATGATCGCAGTATATGCTCAACTACTTGGGATAATCTACGTTGAATCGTATGATCGCAGTTTTCTCGTTATAAAGATATATGGTATGACACTCGTTAAAAGAAATCACATATCAATCTGTTAGCATGAATATGTACTACATATATGGAAATATTGTAATCTTGAAGGTTCATTATAATTTTCAAAAGGTTGAACGTAATTCAACAGGCCAAAGTAGAACCCGAGTACTGTGGTAATAGATTGTCAAGTTCTCATAATCTACTATCAGGTGTTGCTGAACTTTGATAGTCGATTATCACTTGGTGATAATCGATTATCAGGGGCTGCTGAACTTTTAGAAAGATCCAAAAACAAAGTGCTTTCAAGGTAAATATCAATAATTGAAATATGGATTAAAAATCGAGACTTAGCTTTCAAAATAAGTCTTTGGGATCATAAGTCAAGCACGCTCACTTAAAGCCAAAGGTAGTATACCATCCATAACATCATATCATCATCCTAGACGCATGTTGTAGGATCATGGCATACCATTGCATACCACGTCAAGAGGTCAGGCCTAGTGCGCCTCTTCCGCGGGCCCGTCTAGGAGCCTTCGGGATCCAACGGGTTTCATCAGGATGGCTTGTGTGCGTACATGGTAACTAGGCATTCAGTTACCACCCACAGTTTCTAAGCTCCTTTCGGAGACTAAGGTTTCCTTGGCTCATCACCGCGTGGGGATGATCAGTGAAGAGCAGGGGGTCCCTGCACAGTCTAACTCATGCATCATGAATCATTTGGCATTGCATCATTTGTAAGTAATTATACAGATCTTAATTATCAATTTGTATGTGGTATTGAAAAACGTACCACACTTCATATACAACACTGTCGACGACAAGGCCAAGGTATTTATATTTGGATAATATTCCAAAATGAATCATGGTATTTAAGTATAAATATGTTATCGATCTCTCGCGTTATCGTACCACTCAGCTTTATGCTAAGCGTGTAGTCTATTTGTTTACACGTAGGTTGAAGCACAGATTTAGTGAACCACCCGAAGGATGAAGAGACGATAGAATGGCAGGTTGACATGCATGATTTTCACAAGCATTGAATTTGAAGTTTTGGGCTTGACCCACATCATTGCATTTGTATTATTTAAGTCTTCCGTTATCTCCATCCGAATTTAGTATTTTGCGTTTGAAGTTTTGTTTTATGAATTTTTATTTAATGATTTTGAAAAGTTTTAAAAATATTGCTCTCGTTTCACCTTAATTCCTATAATTCCGGGTTATACGAATTGGGGTTTTACAATTGTTATGTTGATAATCCAGATGAACGTGTATGCATGATATCGTGTGATGTCATGAACTAGTGATGTCATCTATATGTATAACTAAATGTTAGATATTTTCATCTATAATTCCGGGTTATACGAATTGGGGTTTTACAATGCTGAGCATGTAGGGTTTATTCTTTTTCCTGCACGTAGGTAATTAGGATCAGAGCAAACCTAGAGCAAATCCCAGTGGACAATGAGGGAAAAGAGATGTGCGTGACTGCAGTTGAAGACTAGTTTATTTAATTACTATTTTAAGCACTTAATATTTTTTTGGGTTGAATTCCCAAGTTGTTGAGATTTTATGAAATGCTTCCGCAATGTTTTTCAGTTACTCCAATGGATGTTTAAGTTTTGGATTATATGATTTAAATGTTGTTTTAGAATTAAGTTGTTTGGATACCAATTTAGTAGCAACCCAGTTCGTTGACGGGTTGGGGTGTTACAGTCTCCAGACCCTGGTAGTGGCATAGTTCTATGACGGTAGCACGCTATCGGTAGGCGGTACCGGCCTACCGTCTGACGCGATAAAAACCTGGTTTTCTATATCAGCTCGAATCAAGAGCAACAAATAATCCTAATCTCTACAAAATCAATCCCTAACATGATCATAAACTAACTTCTAACATCACCAAGAAATACTAAGATTAAAGCAACTTATATACATGCATACTACCCAATCAAACCAATATCAACCCATACCAAACCCAACATATAGGTTCATGTAATTCAACCATAACGATATTACGAACGTAAGATTCAAATCTATAAGTATAACCTAGTGTTAGATGTCTCCGTACTCACCTCAAATTCGACCAAGTACATACTACAAAAGTTTGGACTTAACAAACAGCGAATTGAGCGAAGAATCACAAAGGGGTTTCTCCTTCTTCCTCTTCGTTCTTCTTCTTCTTCTTCTTCTCTTTCTCGCTACTATTGTTGTTCTTCGCTCTGTTGTGTTTCGATCGAGATGAGAGAGACAAGAGAGGGAAACGTGAGTTTTGTATGCGGTGTATGTGTGAAACGCTATTACGGGGTGTTTATACATTATAGAGTTTCGTCCTTCGTAAGTTTATTAACGTGCCTATATCAAAATGCACTTTTCAGGCCAAATCACTCCGAATTCAAATCAGTTTGCACCGTTAGATTTGTCTTTTGGAATCCTACACAATGGTATAAATTTTATAATTTAATGATGAATATTTATAATTAACTCTGAATTCATCTCAATAATTAATTAATTATTTTTAATTAATTAATTCTGATAGACTATGTTTGAGAACGTTACAAAAAAATACGGAGTATTACATAATCGTGAGATGATCGTTAGAAATATACGGAGTATCCAATAATGGTAGATGATCTAAGAAAAATAGGGTTACTATATATAGCTTCCTCCACATGCTATTGTACCCTCTTTGTGGAAATGGTATAACTAAGCTAGTAGAAATAATGTAGGATGCGTGCTCTATGTGCCAACTCACCAATTCACAATGGTTATCCTTTTTAATATACTCCTCTCATCTCAAAAGTATTTGTTCAAATTTGATACTCCCTCCGTCCCCCATAGATCTTTCTAATAGCCCTTTTTCTTTGTCCACAATAGATCTCTCATTTCATTTTTTAACAATTAAAATACCACAACTACCCCCACTTATTTTATTTATTACACCTCACCCAATTCATTTAATACACTCCACCCATTTTTCATTAAGGGTAATATGGTAAACTTTTACCTTTTTTCAACTCTCCTTAAAAACCACCAAAAGTCAAAATGAGAACATCTTAGGGGGACGGAGGAAGTATTTTGTAATCAATCTCAATTAGATTTTAAGTTATAATTAAATAAAAATTATATATTATATTCCGTATTAATTAGATAAAAAAAGTTTTGAAAATATTTTACAAACTAAATCTAATAAGACTATCCAATTATTATGTCAATTACTCTTATACATTTTATTTATTTAATGGTTACAATTTATCAATTTTAACATCAAAAAATCAAAACTGAAAAATACTTTGAACGGAAATAGTATTTAATAATTAAATGATTTTATAAAAGAAAAGGCGTGGGCCGTGGGGTAATAATCAACATAAGATAATATCTTGCAAACTCAGCAAGAGCTGTATGCCCATTAAATACTCTAAATAAATGATACTCCCTCCGTCCCAGAGTATTTGTCCACTTTCATTTTTACACACCATTCAATACACTTTTTTAATCCATTTTATCTTGTAATTTGTATATTAAAAAATTATAGAAATTATATATTAATAATCTATATGTTAAGACAAATCAAACAAGATCACACATGACTATATTTAGGCTTACACATTGAGAGAATTTGATGAGTCAAAGTGCTTAGATGAACAGTTTCAAAAGTCAAAAGTGGACGAATATAGTGGGACGGAGGGAGTACACTACATCCATTTACAAATCATACCTTCTAGTGTGTGCAAAAAAATCTTACCTTCTAGTTTAATTATTCGAGTTAAACTGAAAATTTCTTTAATTACATAGTAATAAAATGAAATAAATATTTGATTGTTTTGAAAATGAATATAAAGAAATTATATTTGTACTAATTTGATTTTGATTTTAATTTTATGTAATTGATAAACAGAGTTTACATACTCTGGAACGAGATTGCATTATATATTTCAATTCATACTTACGGTGACACTTTTTGTGTAAAATGTTCATTATTTTTGTGCATGTGTGTGTTCTTTAATTTGTATCCCATTGTACTCATTTTCTTGTAAAAAAGTGCTCACTTTCTTTGTAACGAATGTCAATTCTGCTTTTAATTAAAGAAGACTTATTTGTCTAAATGGAGTGTACAATTATCACGTTATACCATGTGTCATGGGTGGTCCGGAAGAAGTGCAAAGTAGCCAACCGCACAAGGCTCCTCTTCCATTTTCTTATTTTTCGAGGCCGGCTCTAGTTTGGGTGTATGATATGCAGGGGAGGGTCTACATGTATGAATACGGGGTAGTCGCCCCTAATCAATTTTTTTACTCCATAATTTATAGTATTAAAATAATTTTTTTTGTAGAGAATTAAAAGAACAGGTCCGGTAAAAAATTAGTTTGCCCCCACTGACAAAAGAAAATCTTAGTTTAATAGTAAAAAATAATCACTTAAAAACATGTACAGGTAAAATATTTGAAATATCATAATTATATTATGTTATGATATATTTTATATTTTATTTTTCTACTTTAAAAGTATTTTTTTATTTCAATACTTGTTTGAAATTAAATTTATTTATTTTTATCATTGTGAAACGCTTTAAAAAAACCGGGAGTGCAACTCCTGAATCCCACCATACTCTTTAGTGTGTATTTGCTTCCAGTCATATTTTTCTCTGGATCCGCCACCGATGATATGCCCCCACTCTCCCATTAGTTTTGTCCCTTTTAATTTGAATTATATATTCTAAATTAAATTGTCTCAAATCATATTGGGGAATTCCCGCCTCCCCCAAGCGGGAACGAGAAAGGGAGGTCCCCCCTCCTATTTTTCGCGTGCCTTTTTTGATGTTTTGTTTTTTTTCCTCCTTTTTTTGCATTTCTTTTTTATTCTTTAGTTTTTTATTTCTTTCAGTTTTTATTTTTATATTTTTCTAAACTTTTTTTTACAATTTTTATTTTTTAATTTCTTTTTTTAGTTTTAATTTTTAGTTTTTAAGTTACGGAGTACTATTTAATTGTTTTTATGTTTTGCTTTTGAATCTTCACTTTTAAATTTTATAAATTTTCCTTTTTTAATCTATACTTATTTTAAAAAAGCTTTTCCTTTTTTATCTTTAGTTTTTTTATTTTTTTTTTTAAATTTTCATACTTTTTATGTTTTTTAATTCCATTTTTATTTATTTTTTCAATATTTTAAAGTTTGTAATATTTGAGTTTTAAGTTTTTAGTTTAAATAATTCGAATTTGATTTAAGTGTTAAAATATAATATTAAAATAATGGAAGGGAAAGAGAAGGGGAACCACACCCTCGAAAAGGAGAAGGGAATGTGAAATAAAATGAAAAATTGACATGACACTGAGTTGGCTCGAAAGAAGGATGAGGGGAACCATATATACCCCATAGCCTAATAATGATGTGAGTTTTGAATAATTTATCTGAGGACTTTTTCATGAATTGTTTGTTTTTCGTAAATGCAAAATTAGTCCCCTTGTACTATACTTTTCATAAATTCCTACTTTATTTTCGAATTTAGTTCACTTCCCCTTAACTTTCAAAACTACAACATTAATTAGTTCATATACTTTCAAATAGTGAATTTTTTCCCTCCTAACTTTAAAAAGTGCATCATTAGTTCTACAGTTTTAAGAATAGTGCTAGATTGGAATTCTAATCATTTCTTTTGGTTGAACGTCTTTAACCCAAACTTGAATAAAAAGAAAAAAAAATAACTTAGAAGACATATCTGCTAACGAGATTGTCAAAGTCATCTTTTCACGTCTCACTTGACGAATTTTTTTCAAGAGACTTCATACATTACCATTTCAAGAGTTTACCTTTGTTGATTAGAATGGAAGTAAATAGGGATCAAATGAGAACAAAGAATTTGGGACCTAGAGAATGGTGGGACCGACCGAGAGGTATATTCATAGCTTTACCCATTTCAAATATATCCAAATGTATAATTAAACGCAACCAACCCTTCACGGCTCTCTCTCGGCTCTATATAAGTTGTAATCCTCTTCAATTCACCCCTCCTCACTACTCTCAACAAATATATATAATTGCATGCATACCATTGGTGTTAATTAATTATTAATATGGGATATAATAAATTCAATATTAATAATGTCACGAAACATCTCCATCTTATTATGCTCTTCTTCATCCTCTATTCGACCATCCATTTGCAAACCTCGTCCTCACAAAACCCGCCTTCGCTAGCGTGCGATCCGAGCAATGGCGCCACCAAGGCGTTGCCCTTTTGTCAGACCAGCCTTCAGATACAAGCCAGGGTGAAGGACTTGATCGGGCGGCTGACGCTGCAGGAGAAGATCAGGCTCCTGGTGAACAACGCTGCCCCGGTGGAGCGGCTGGGCATCAGGCGCTACGAGTGGTGGAGCGAGGCCCTACACGGGGTGTCGAATGTGGGCCCCGGGACCACCTTCGGGGGAAAGTTCCCGGGGGCCACAAGCTTCCCGCAGGTCATCACCACCGCCGCCGCCTTCAACTCCTCTTTGTGGGAAGCCATTGGACGAGTAAGTTGATGCACATATTTTAATAAACTATAATTCTAAGAAAATCATTATGAATATGTTGTGACCTATATCTAGCTAAAATGCTCAATAATGTGTAATAGATGCTTCAATATGCATCTATGAATATGTCAATGAGGTGGGACACACATGCATGATCTTAAATAATTAAATACGCTTCAAATTAAAAAAAATGTTAAATATTCCGTAATTAATACTCCATCCTAAGTACATACACTAATATTGTTTCTGATGACTTTGAAAAAACTTTACATTTTTTGGGATATTTTAAAAAATGAACTTTGAACTTCTACAATTTCATTTTTTGGACACAATTATGTGGGTACCTTTAATTATTACCGTATATCTCTCTTTTAAATAATTTCAGCCAGACAGTTTTTATTCTTTGTATTTTTTAAATAAATACTCGGTACATTTTTTAAATTTATGTGGAGTCAAATTCTTAAGATTCTTGAGAGAGTATATTTTTAAGAGTGGCCACGTGCAACTAAGTTGTTAACTTGTTACCCAAACTCTCTCTCTCCGTTTCATTTTTTTTGAATAAAAAAAATCAAAATATAGATATAAAATTATGTTGTTGGAAGTTGGAAGAGTGTAGGGATACAATATGGTGTACCCATAAAATTGTTAAAAATATCACTTTCATTCAGATTTAATCTTCTCGTTTGACTATTTTCAATCAAAGTTTTTAATTATATTTTTGCAATCGATTTACGAAAACAATATATTATGTTTTGATAAAAATATAATAACAGAGTTTTAAAATATTAAAATTTTTTAAATTGTTTTATACTCCATCCGTCCTCATTTTGATTATAATTTTTTCCCTCTCTCTTGTCATAACTTTTGTTTATTTATGAGATTTCGTTAAGTTTTTGATAAAATAAAATTTTCTGGTCATCTCTTGTTTTGTAGAATTTTTAACGTAGTTTTTTTATATGTAATTTCTATTTCTTATTGATATACAAATTTATAATTAAAATGATTTTAATAAGTAAGAATTTTTGCTCGTAAATCTTAATTTATAATCAAATTAGGGACAACGGGAGTTACATTAAAATATAAACAAGGGAGGGAGTAATTGGGTCTGCATTCCTAGTGGTAAGTGACTACTCATCGCTTCATTGGCCACTCTTTTGAATTTGGTGACTAGAGGCCCATTAATTCCCCTATTTTTTTGGTATCTAGGTTGACCTACATTTGCATACACTAGCTGGCTAGTTCGTTATTGTAACATTTTTTAAAATTTTAAAATTTTTGGTTAAATTAATTCATTAACATAACCCTCGAAAAAATGCATTAAAATAATATTAAGGTCGAAATATATCTTTCCATTTCGAATTAATCGACTCATATTCTTTTTTCAGTTAATTCCAACAAGATCGTCACACTTTTTAACTTTTCTAATAAAATAAAAATTACGTGGTCTAAATTTTTTTTCGATCTTTAAATTAAAAATTAATTGTACATTTTTTCAATATTTTTTCTTAGAATTGTGTAAAGTCAATTACTGTACTAATTAATTCAAGACCAAAGGAGTACATATATAGTTGTAGTCCTCTTGGAGGGAGATATATGAATGGAGACACACATGTGCCTAACTGAAAGAGAGAAATTAGATTAATACTCCAAAATAAAGTACTCCCTCCGTCCCACAAACTTTTCTTCTTTTTTTTTATCCGTCCTAAAAAATCTTTCTCGTTTTTATTAAAAAGTCACTTTTATCCATACTACGGAGTATTTCTTAAACTACCTATCGCGTACATAACACTTTCTTACTATTAATCATTCATCACATCTACTTTTATCAATCACATCCAAGGACATATTTGGAAAGTCAACACCAAAATTTACTACATTTAAATTTATAAGAGTCCAAACCAGAAAGATTTTGTGGGACGGAAGGAGTATGTTTCTTCGGTGTTGGTTGTCTTTCGATCATTATATTCCAAAATATAATAAACATCACATTTTATTTATTTATTTATAAAAGAAAAAGGAGCTAGTATCCCATGATTTTCTCAGTTTTTCTCTAAATTAAATAGACTAGCTGTAACAACAACTTTACTCTTAAATATATATATGTTGTATATTAAAGTTCACAAATTAAAAATCAAACAATTGAGTATTTTAAGAAGGGGAGAGATAGCAGATAAGGTTAGTTATGCGACTTAGCCTTGCATATAATACTTGTGTCCCAATTTGTTTGTCCAGTTTGAATTTTTTGAATCAAATTTAATAAATTTTAAACTTTAATTATTCCTAATTTATGTTACATACTAATATAATAAAATAAAAATTTAAAAAAGCTCTACAAGATAAATATAATAAATTTTTTCTTATAAAAATATATATCATGATTTTTATTTAATTAAAATTCAAAATTTATTAAGTTTGACTCAAACAGTCAAATTGAACAAATATATTAAAACGGCATTTGCTTACACATGTTTGTCATCATGGATAGATTATACCTTTGGTATAATATGATGTGCACTTGACAACATGCCTACGTGTCTCACAAATAATATTCTCTTCCCAAATTAATCATGGTCGTACGTGGTTTGAAAAAAATAAAAGTATTCATTTGGGATTTATAATGATGGGAGAGAATTAATTAATATGGACTGCTTATTCCATTTATTTAAAAAAAATGAAACGATTTTTTGGAGTAATACAAAAAAATGAGAAGTTTGTTTTTGGAAAGATTAATTTGGGAGCGAGTGAGAATTAATAGCAGTATACTCCGTATTTGATAAACTCAATCTTTCTTAAAATGTGTTTTTAAAAACTTATTAGTGAAACATTAAACAATAATCTAAAAAAATATTATGTATAAATTAAATAATTAACACGCTTATAGAAAAAATTTTCTTTTATAATGATATAATATTGATATACTCCATCTCTCACGGAGTATTTATCCAGTTTTGATTTTTTACAGTCAACAAATATCGACATTTAATTCATAATTAAATAAAAATACATGGAATATTAATTAGATAAAAAAACATACTCCGTATTTTGAAAATATTTTACATGATAAATCAAATAAATTTATTCTTGTATCAATATCTAAGAAAATTTTTATTCAATTATTGATTAAATTGTATCAATTTTGATTATAAAAGAGTCAAAATAGACTAATACTCTGTGATGGGGATAGTATATATCATATCAACATAAATATATCTTGGTTGAGTGCAAACTGCCTCCCACATCAGACGAAGAAGAGAAAAATGAACCCAAATATAATACTTTGATCTCTAGTTCAACTCAATTCATTAAATTAGTATGAGACATCTTAGGAAGAGCCCAAAATATATTCGTGAGACTTGATCCAAAGTGAACAATATCTTATCAATGTCGGGAAAGAATACATGTGGTCTCAAAATGTGGTGTCGGAGCCGAAGCTCAAAGCGAGCAAGAAAGGCAGACTTTGTTGTGTGGTCTTCTCGGTGTATCCGGTATGACAACATAATTAAGATCTGCAAGTGGTGTCTAGTGTAAAAAGTCATAAAATCATACATTCAAAGGTGGCATTGTGGCAATGTGGTCAATACTAAATAAGGTGATTTACCAACTGCCAACAAGGTGTTGGTTGAAAATATTCTTGCATTTTTTATGACCAAAGTTCAAGATTCTTTGTGAAAAATGTAGTTAAAAAAACAACCATGCTACACGCCTACACTTACACCAAAAAGAGTGCCCCAAAATTACAACAAAGGTATAAACTAACATTTTGATGGTTTATACTGATACAAAATGATGTTTCGTTAAAAAAAATTGTACTAATATTTTTTGTCTATGTGAACTATCACCCTAACATTAGACTGACAAAAAATGAAAGTGCATATTTACGGTATACAAATTGGGGTACAATTGTACAAATAGCTTAATCCTAATATAAAAAAAAGCAATTTTATTGGAAATGTGTGTATAAGGGACAAAATGGAATCTTTTAAACTTTTACGAAGTAGTGTTTTTTTTTAACAAAGACAACTTTTTTTCAAAGGACAAAATGAGAGTTTTTTAGGTAGGAGTGAAGCGACAGATTGAGACTTGAGATGAGTGACGGAGAAGAAAAAAACGTAGCCGCAACGCAACTCCAAGTACAGAGGGAGTAATCAAATTACATCCTAATTATTTAAATTATTTTTCTTTCTTTTTTTATAAAAATGTTTTCCCCATCCTAAAAAAATGTTCTTTTTATTAATATAACAACATTAGACTGTGGATTTTTACATTTTTATTGATAATAATAATTACTAGGTATATATTAGAAAACTAGAAAGAGTATATAAAGTTCTATCCCTTTCTATAATATACAGCTACTAGCTAGTAATTAATATTTTCAAATATTTTGAATTGAAAATAATTTCGATCAAAGAGAACCGAAACAAGACCCTTTTATGGAAGGTGTATTAATATTAAGTAATTCTATAGTCATAAATAACTTGGACACAAACTACACAAATTTTCCATTTGTACACTTTCCATATGCTAAATTAAAATAATAATTTAAATACACAAATAGTAAATTTATATAGTTTATGTCCATGTTATTTGTGACTTTAGCATTATTCATTAATATTACTCTGTACAAGTTTTACTTTTAATTCCTTGCTTGGGAACACCGCTTTTTAATAACATTATTAGTAGTTTAGGTAAAAAATTTAATTGAACAGTTTTGATAAATGTTATCGTTTAAGATAAAGTTTTAATTATGTAGATTAATTCTAAAAATTCCAACGCTAAAGACTATCGTCAGTTAATTTTTTCAAAATGTTAATGCTAACTCCAATGCTAATACCAAGCGCGGCCTAAGTTTCAAAATAAAAAAGAAATTGAACCCCAATAAAAAAAAGACTCTCTCCACCAGCCCACATTTATGATAGAAGGATATAAATTAAGTTATGAACTCACTATAATTAATACTCCTTTCATTTCTTAAAATACTTTCTCTTTTATTTTTTTCTATTTCATCAAAACACTCCTACTTTCAATTATAAAATCACTTTTTTCTAACTTTTTCTTATCATACCTATCACATCTCACCTTTACCTTCACATTAAGAACGAAATAGAAAACTCAACTCCAAATAACTCACTCTTATTTTTACACAAAGTCAATATAGGAAGTTTTTATAGAAACAAATTTACTTAGAGAATAATTATATTCTAAATGAGTTTGTATACCTATCAAAATATCAGATTCCTTATATTCTAATATTTTGATACATATGAAAACCAATTTAGAACATAATTATTCTTTAAACGGATTTACTCAGTTCTTTTGATCCATATTAAAGATAATTATGTTCACCTATTCCATACCGAGTGTACATTAGGAGTATATAATTAAAGAGATGATAAGACACATTTCGTTTTCCCAGCTGTGCATCTTATCATAAACTATAGGCCTCGTCACCGCGTAAATCGTCAAATTGTTTGTTCCATAAAATATTTGATACTCTGTCTATAAAAATTAGGCCCGAATTGAAAACTTTAATTCCAATTCTCGTGTTTGGTACCACAAAAATTATGTGTATTTAGAATTGGTAGTGCAAAAAATGAATTGAAATTGGTGAATTCAATTCTATGGAATTGAATCCAGTGGAATTTTAATTCAAATTCAATTCCAATTTCATCAATTCTGTGTATTAAACGGATCCTTAAAATTGGATAGACTCATAGAGGTCATAAACTAGGCGACGAGATATTTTGTCAAATCATATTTAAAAAATATGTTTAATTGGGCTCTATCCATCCTTCAATTCTTTTCACCCCTTTTGAGAAGTTTCGAATTTATAATTAACTTCTCATGGAGTTAGCAAAATAGTCGGTCATGTTATAACAAACGCGAGAAAGCAAGAACACGAACAATCGATTATCACGGAAAAGACAAAGATTTTAACATGGTTTACTAACAACCTGTTAGTAACCTCCACGGAGAGAAGAGAAAATATTTTTATAGATCAGTATTTTCTAGCGAGATTATAGATTTTCTCTACCATGAATTGAGAAGTACAAATACAAGCTATATATATAGGGAAAGGGATATGGGTAATCCTAATCCTACCAGATTACAAATTTTCTCTACCTAAATCTCTTGTCGATTGTTAGAAAATGTCTTGAATATGTATTCAAGACCTATCAGGATTAGGACTAAGAATAAGATTAGGATTACCCATATCCCCTTATATATATATATATATATATATATATATATATATATATATATATATATATATATATATAGCTTGTATTTGTACTCCTCAATTCATGGTAGAGAAAAATTGTAATCGGGTTCGGGTTTGATCACCTTGGTTTCAGGTTTTTTCGGGTTTGGGTAAGTTCGGGTTCGGGTTGAGAGCTACATATTCATGACCCAATGTCATCGGGTTCGGGTCGACCCAACGGTTATGACTTTCATTTATTTTTTGAAATTTGAAGTAATTTTTATGACCGATTATCAAAATTACGAATAAAAAAACTAAATATGCAAAAACTTTTGAAAAAGGTAAGATAATTATGCGATATCATTAAAATTTTGTATAAAAATATAAATGTATACACAAAAAATGAGTATAGTAGAAAGCAAAGATGTATAATTAAAATCTAATTTTTAGAACATTATATTATTCCCTCCGTCCGGAAATAAAGTTTACGTTTCTCCTTTTTCTCCGTCCGAAAAATAAAGTTTACATTTCTAATTTTAACCCATACTCTTCCAAAAATACCCCTCTACCTTTCTTTCTCTTCTTCTTTTCCTTCCTTAATCTTTATCTTTTCCCCCACCGTTCCTTTCTATTCTCCACCGCACCTCTCTACTTATCTTCATTCTCTTTTATCCTCACTCTTTCTTCTCTCTTTTCCTTCTCCTCCCAGCGCCCCATTTTTTTCTTTTCTTTTTTTTTCTTTCTCTTTGTGTAGATCTGACTTCTTCTTCCTCATCATCCTTCTCCATCTTTCTTCTAGATCTAAACAGATCTGTAATCTCACAGAGATGGGGGATGGCGGAGAAAGTGCTAGCAGTGATGGAGGGCCGGCGGTGACAGAGTTCTGGCGAAGATGGTGGGATTGGCAGCGGTGGTAGGGTTGTGGTTGTGATAAGGGACGAATCGGAGGCGATGGGGGGCAGACCTGGCGGTGACGACGGAAGTGCTGTGGCAGTGATGTTGAAACTAATGATTGTGGTGGGGGATGGCCAAGAAGGGAGGCTGCNACTAATTCACCTTAGAGTCAACCATCAATAAAAATGACCAAAAGTCAAAACGTAAACATTAATACAGGACAGAGGGAGTACATTGTAAAACATATGAATTGAAAAATTCTCACATTAGCAGGTCAGTCAGGTTGGGTTCCGGTTCAGTCGGGTTTGACCCATTTTTGACGGGTAATTTCGGGTTCGGTCGGCAAAACCTTTGTTCAAAACCCAGTATTTTCAGGTCGGGTCTCGGATCGAAAACAGGTCGAGTCAATTTTTGCCAGGTCTAACTTCTCTTCTCCTCTTCTCACAATGATTTTCATGGTTAAATTTTTAAATTTTGACTATGGAAAAATATTTAATTGTTATGTAATTTTAGTGTCAAGAAATTTATTCTGAAGCATAATTTTAAAATTATATATATATATATATATATATATATATATATATATATATAGATATATATATATATAAACTTGTTCTGAAAAATTATATACTTCAACATGTCGTCTCACGTGCAACGAAAATTTGTTTTTGCCCCAACCTTTAACATGAATATTAATTTCTAAACAAGGTGACAATGAGTTTCGCATTTGTGACTTTTTCATTAGCAGTGCTATGATGCTATTTTAAAGAGACAATTCAATTCAGTCAAAAGTTCAAAAATTTGGTTGTAAGCACATGAAATGCTTTATATTCAACATGTATAAGTTTGATGTTTTTATTTTATTTAGATGTACTTATAAATAAACTTTAAAAAAACAAATTTGTTACTTACTCCATCTGTTTTAGGGTATTTGTCTAGGTTGGACTTTTTATATCAATCAAAATCACGTTTGACATATAATTAAATAAAAACTACATGATATGTTAAATAAATAAAATAGCATTCTAAAAGAATTTTATAAAGTAAATATAGTTAATATGTTCTTGTACTAGTACTCATATAAATTTTATTAAATTCATTAATTTTGATTGTAAAGAGTCAAAAATGAATATATATGATGTAATTATACAATTGGGTTTAATTATATTTTTTACCAGGCGGTGTCGGACGAAGCAAGAGCAATGTACAACGGAGGGGCGGCAGGGCTAACATTTTGGAGTCCAAACGTGAACATATTGAGAGACCCGAGGTGGGGGAGGAGCCAAGAAACACCCGGCGAGGACCCTAGATTGGTAGCCCAATACGCCGTGAGCTACGTCAAGGGCCTCCAAGGCGCTGGCAACACCAATCACCTGAAATTGGCCGCTTGTTGCAAGCACTATACCGCTTATGACCTTGATGATTGGAAAGGATTTGATCGCTACCACTTTGATGCCAAAGTATGTATCTTTTTCAATTAAAAATACTTTGAGAATTAAATTTTTTTATGTCTTCTGTGATCTCATTTTTAACTTCTTGGGTGCATGTACATATTAATTAAGGTAAGTGCCCAAGACTTGGAGGACACCTATAATGTGCCCTTCAAAGCATGTGTAGTGGAAGGGAAGGTGGCGAGTGTGATGTGCTCCTACAATAAAGTTAATGGCAAACCCACTTGTGCTGACCCTAATCTCCTGCGTGGTACCATTCGTGGTCAATGGCGCCTCAATGGGTATGTTGATTGCATAATTTTTTTTGAGTGCATGTTGATTACATATTTGATCCTTTTGTTCCAAATTATTTTTCTACTTTTCATTTTAATAACTTTTTAACATAATGAACTAAAAATAGCTATAGCAAAAGACATATTTGTAAGTAAAGTAGTACAATACAAAATTAATTTTTCATATTACACGATGGTAAAAATTTATAAACTCAATGCATATGTGTACAAAAACATTGATTATGTCCGTGTGTATCTGCGTCTTGATGTGCATTTGGTGTCAAATATTTGATGTCCCCTTAACACACTCAAGTTGACACTATGAGAAAGGTTTTCAGATTGACAATATTTTTCGATGATGAATCATTAGTTTTGTTGGAAACAGTGTTTTCAATTAGCATTACCATTTGAATAAAATTTTGATGTTGTAGATTAATAATAAATACGCTAACGCTAAAGGCTATCATCGGATAGCGTTTTCAAAACGCTAACACTAGCCTCTAACGCTGACGCCAAACTAATATAGAGTAATGCTCCCTCCGTCCCTGAAAAGCTTTCTCATTTCTTTTTTCATCCGCCAAAAAAAACTTTTCTCATTTCTTTTAAAAAATCACTTTTACCCGTACTAATTCTTAACCTACCTATCGCATCACATATATTCACTATTAATCTACCAATCAAATTCTACTTTTATCCATCACATCAAAGGATATTTTTGGAAATTCAATACCACAATACATTCTCCTAAAATCCTTTAAAAAATAAAAATCTGCCATGTTTTAGCGGCGGAAGGAGTATTTAATACTCCGTGTAAAGTTGATGATGCTATTTTTAGTGTTGTGGTACCATGCCCCAAAAATAGTATACTATTACATCAAAACAAATGATACTCTCACAAAGTGATTAGTTTTGTGAATCCGTCCATATTTAATAAAAATTTATATACCTTCATTTTATTCCTTATTTGCAATGATGCAAAATTAAACTAGGGAGAGTAAATTAAGACTGATCAAGAACAAGTTTATAAAAAATTTTATATTTATAAGATGTCACACACATTTTTAAATATAAAGTATCATTATAATAATGCAGATACATAGTTTCCGATTGCGATTCTGTTGGCGTGATGTTTGACCAACAACACTTCACAACCAAACCTGAAGATACAGTTGCTGCTACTATCAAAGCCGGTAAACATTATCCTTTTGATATCAATCCCTCAATTAGGTTCTCATGTTTTGATATGTTCCAGTTCTTTGACTTAATTAGTTCACAATGTCATATTCATACAATGAAATTCACATACTCATTTCACAAAGTTCCAGAAAAAAATTGCAAAAAAGCACTCCATCCATTCGTCTTTGAAACATTTTTACAATTTTTATTTGGATATATCTAAAAATCAACTTTGCACTTTTTCGCTTTCACTTTGAGAAAACAAATATGTGGGTATCTTTCATTGTCTCTCTTTTAAATAAATTTCAATGAAACACTGACTTTTTAATTTGTGTAAATTCAAATTGACAGATTCTTTCAAAGACGTATCAAGTATAGATTACTACCAAATTGTGCATAAGAAAATAGGAAAATGTTAGCACAAGTCACATAATTCATGTGCAAAAATGATTTTTTTGTGATTTCACAGGCTTGGATTTGGACTGTGGGCCTTTCTTAGCAGTCCACACAGAGGAAGCCATTCGGGGCGGAAAACTCAGCGAAGCTGACGTTAACAATGCCTTATCTAACACAATAACGGTCCAGATGAGATTGGGCCTATTTGACGGAGCTAAACAGCCCTACAGTTACTTGGGCCCAAAGGATGTGTGTAGTTCGGCCCATCAACAATTGGCCTTGCAAGCCGCCCAAGAAGGCATAGTTCTGCTTAAGAACACTCGACGGTCCTTGCCATTATCTCCCCAGCGTCATCGAACCATTGCAGTAATTGGGCCGAATGCGGATGCCACTGTTACTATGATTGGCAATTATGCTGGTAAAATACTTCTTTCATCCTCAATTTGATTATAATTTTGTTCTCTCCTCTTGTGAACTTTTGTTTGTTTACGCGATTTTATTAAGTATTTGAAAAAATAAAATATTCTTGTTATCTCTTATTTTGTAGAACTTTTGACGTAATTGTTTAATACGTGATTTTTATTTCTTATCAATATACTGATTTGTAAATAAAATGATTTAAAAAAGTCAGATATTTCTCCTTGTAAAGTGAGAATATTAAATAATGCATTCTCTACCGCCACATTCCTTAAATAAGTGACCTAAAATTAAAATTTTAGTGAGATGATTATACTAGAAACCATTTCTACAATGCAACTCAAATTATTCACTTTGCTTATTATAGGGTCTCCTATGTAATCTTACATGATACGGAGTAAATATTACTACTAATTAGAGCAAGCAAATTGGTCGGTCAGGTCGGGTTCAGGTTCGGTCATTTCGAATTCGGGTTATTTCGGGTTCGAATCAATTCGGATTCGAGTTGAGAACTGTATGTTCATGACACAATGTCATCGGTTTCAGGTCGACCATACGGGTTATGACTTTGGTTTTTTAAATTTTTAAATTCACATTAACACTTACATTTTCTATTAAATAAATTTAAAATATCAAAAAATGTGTATTACATCTATTAGATTATTCTATTTTACATTCTATTTTTTTAGATATATAAATCAATATAAGGAATTTAAAAAATGCTTCTGTTTTAGAAAAAAGTAAAATACTTATGCAATATCACTAAAATTTTGTCTGAAAATATAAATTTATACACTAAAAACGAGTAGTAAAGTGTATGATTTTGAAAAACTCTTAATTTCGCGGGTCAGTCAGGTCGGGTTCGGGTTCGATCAAGTTTGACCCATTTTTAGCGGCTCATTTCGAGTTCAGTCAACTTCGGATTCGGTCATCAAAACTTTTGTTCAAAACCCAGTATTTTCAGGTCGCGTTTCAGGTCAAAGACAGGTCAGGTCATTTTTTGTCACGCCTATTACTAATCTATGTGTTTGTTTTTTCTTGGTCAAATGGTAGGATGTATATTTTACTATAACATCACTTTACTATAAATGGGTTTATTTAAGATATCATTTTGAAATATAAATGAGTTTATTTTATTATAACATCACTTTAGTATAAATGCGCACCCCATAAAATGCTTCTATACCATTAAAAATATTTAAAGTATCTCTAAAATAATTTATAACCATAAAAAAAGATAAATATGATGAACTTTAGACATTATAAATATGTGCAGAGATGTACTTTAGAATATGCAAAAAACGAAACATTAATTTTTTTTAGAGACGAAGGTAGTAATACTTAATTAGAATGTATTATCTCTTTTGCAAACATAAAAAATGTCATTAATTTTTTATGTTTGATGTAGGTGTTCCATGCGGGTACACAACGCCGGTGCAAGGAATAACAAGATACTCCAAAGTGGTTCACCAGCCGGGCTGCGTGGGCGGCGTCGCGTGCACCAGCAATCAAAACTTTGAACTTGCGGAGATCGCCGCGCGCCACTCAGATGCCACTGTCATCGTGGCGGGGCTGGACCAGTCCGTCGAGAGAGAAGCCAAAGATCGCGAGAGCCTCCTTTTGCCGGGACTCCAACAAGAGCTCGTGTCCAGAGTCGCCAAGGCCTCTAGAGGACCAACCGTGTTAGTGCTGATGTCCGGCGGCCCTGTCGATGTCTCTTTTGCTCGCGACGATCATAGGGTTTCTGCCATTTTGTGGGCTGGCTATCCCGGCCAAGCTGGCGGCGCTGCCATTGCTGATATCTTGTTTGGAGCCGTTAATCCTGGTTTGTCTCTACAACAACAACAACAACAACAACAACAACAACAACAACAACAACAACAACAACAACAACAATAATAATAATAATACTCCCTTTTCTATTGATGAAATTTTCTTCTCCCTCAAATTAATTGAGGACGCCATTATTATAAAGGAAGAAAATCAACTAAAAGCCCCTCCATTTCTTGTGCATAAATCAAATTAGGGTTAGTGAGTATTGAATTCCTGAGCTTTACACTATGTTTGGTTTAAGAACATTTGGATGAAAAAAAGGAAAATGGTTCTCACATTTTCCTCACCGAGATGAGAGGAACCTGGTTTTCCTCCTCTAAGTACATCTTGTGCTTAAATCAAATTAGGGCTAGTGAGTATTGAACTCATGACCTTTTTAGGTCAATAAGGTATTTTCATGGGTTCTAGGAGCCCAGTTAGCATGAGAACAAGCTTACTAGGTTCGTGGAATTCGAAAGGAAAAGAAAAAAAAGTGATTCCCCCTTCTTTTGGAGCTCAACATATAAGCTATCGTGCCAACCCTACATGTTGGATCGGCCTACATAGCTATCATGTCAGGGTTTCTAGACCTCATTGTTAAATGTTATGGTCAATCTACTAGCATGCTTGGTTTGATAGATCTCCTGGCTAAGACCCGCTACCTCTTCTATGAAACTAGGCCCTCGATCTTGATCTTTTGTACTCTTCCTTGATTTTGATACCCTTTAGTTGTTAGGTGTATCCTAGATACATAGACGTTCTCTACTCTATCAATTATTACAAAAAGAGCTAATTTTGTTTGGGTATGTATGTGCTTGTGATCACAGGTGGAAAGCTACCAATGACATGGTACCCACAAGAATATGTAGATAAGGTGCCAATGACAAACATGGAAATGAGAGCTTCATCAGGAGGCTACCCAGGGAGAACATATAGGTTCTACAAAGGCAAAGTGGTTTTCCCATTTGGAGCTGGACATAGCTACACCAGATTTAAGCAGAGCTTAGCACATGCCCCATCCACCTTTTCCCTACCCCTTTTATCTTCTTCAAAAACCTCTTCACTTGACAATAACAACAATATGACGACAATGTCTTCTTCGTTGAACCTAGGTATTAAGGTTTCCCACACAAATTGTGACTCCCTCAACATAGGTCTGCACATTGATGTGAAGAACATAGGGGAAATGGATGGGACTCATACAGTTCTAGTCTTCTCTTCCCCACCCAATAACACTTCTAACGTTGTCCTCCCCACTAAGGAGTTGGTGGCATTTGAAAAAGTTCATGTCATGGCTGGAGCTCAGAAAAGGGTTATGCTCTCTATCAATGTATGCAAGCATCTAAGTGTTGTTGATGAATTTGGGGTTCGAAGAATTCCAATGGGAAAGCATGTCCTTCACATGGGCAATGATCATGATGATGATGACTATTCTTTATACTTACAAGTCATGGTATAGAAAAAAAGCTCTTGAATAATAATGTATGTTGTTCAAAGACAGAATTAAAGCTTTTTTACTGTATATTTGAATTGTTTCAAACACTTCTTTAGCATTACTATATGCTTCTCTTCTACAATTTAAAAGGGAGAAGCACCAATTGTAAAAAGGAATACTTGATCAATTGTCATGGTGAATGTGAATCCTACAAAGGCATGTTAATTTCTAAATTTCCTTGCCATTATAATATATATTAAAGAAGTATAAAGTTGATTTGTATGTAATTATGATTTTCACAAGATCGTTTTAATCTTAATCAAATTTACTTGTGCAATTTGTATGCTACGTTCTACTTGTTGTTTTGCTCAAAGTTATTACTAATATTTGTCTCATCACTCATTTAAAGCTACAACATGGAGTCAATATGTCTTTCTAAACCCAAGGGTGTTGCGATGGGGAAGAGAGGAGTCTTTTCTTTTGTGACGGAGGAAAGTACAATAACAACAACACCATCAATTTAGTTGGATCCCACGAGAGTAGGGCCTGAAGAGGGAATTTGTACGCAGACTTTGCCCCTACACAAGAGTAGAGAGGTTGTTTGCAACAGACCCTCGACTCAAACATCAAAGATAAAAATGAGATCACAAAGACATATATAACAGAGATAGCAAAAAGCACACAAAGGCCTAGAACAAACTAATTAAACGGAACAAAAACATAATCAAAGAGTACCAAGCCTACAAGCAAACAAAGCACACAACAAGTGGAGAAACTACCGCTAAGTCCAAATCACCTACTCAACTACTCTAATCCTAGCACTCTAGGCGCTCCTATATAATCCAATAATCTCCCACTAGCACTAAGGCCAATTATGCATTTCACAAATGCTCATGGACAAAGTGTGACCCTCGTGTTTAGGATTTCCCAAAGCCTTGGTCAGTGGAATTGTTAAATTATTATCCGAACCTTTATTTCAACTTCTTACATGCTTGTTTAATGTGCAAACATTCTGATGATACGTTTGGTATTCCCAATGAGACAATGATTCAATGGCTAGTGAAACGATCCCGTTGAATCATTCTACAATGATTCAGGATTCAAAATTACTATGAATCGTATCGAGTTTTGTGATGAAACTCTGGGTCCAAACACTATACTTAGTAGCTTCAAAAGCTGTCATGTAATCTACCTTTATATCTTGACAATGTTACTGTGACTCGTAGCTCTTCTAGCTCAAGGATTCGTCATCCTAATAATTTATACAATTATTTTAATGGCTTAATTAACATCATTGATGCCTTGGAAGCTAGCTTTAGTGTGATCTCATACACTAAGTGTAACGCCTTGAAACTCGGCTTAGTAATTAGTCGTTATTTTAACAAAAATGAATATATTATTTATTGACTTTAAAATATGAATTATTTCTAAAATTGACCATTTTAATTAAAATTAGGTTTTTGGGTAGATATCGTAAAATGGTGACCAACGGTATATAGTGTGTTAAATTTGCACATACGTGTAAAGTGTAGTGAGTAAATAGACATTACAGTTCAATAAATAAATATAAAGAGTTTATATTATTAAATAATAATAATAATAAAGTTAAACTACTCCTACCCGTAAGCGGAAAACCCCTCCTCTTCCCCCTTAATAAATACAGACGCACACAAGAAGAAAAGAAAAGAAAGAAAGAAAAAAACAGAGAAAAGAAACGGAAAGAAGAAAAGAACGAGGATAGCGGATAGCCACAGCCGTGCTCCGTCACCTTGCCGCCGCCTGCTCGCTGGAGATTTTTCGCCAACATGTTTTATTTTAATACGTCAAACTATTAAGGTGAGTGATTTATCTCTCGTTAGAATTAATTTGTAGATTATGATTCGTTGATATGTTTTCGTTCAGTCGACGTTGAATTTGTGATTATGGTTGTTGAATTGTGTAATTGATTGTTTGGAAGTTGATTGTGGATTTGAAATTGGTGAAATTGATTGGGGTTTGATTGGATATGTTCATGTACTGCGTTGTTCTTCTCTTTTCTTTCGTTTTGCGTCTGTCCTCTCTCTCTGCTCTGTTTCATCTTGCTGTGGTGCTGCTGTTAGAGCGTAATGGCTACTAAGAGGCGAACTTTGGGTTGTTAAACCAAGAGCTGAAAATCAGCTTTTTAATGGGTAATTGGGCATTGAAATTGATCAGAGGCTCTGGATTCTAATTCCTTATCTTATTCCTTGTGTTGTGATAATCGTGGCAGGATGGTATTTATGGGAACACTATGCTTTTGGTATTCATTGATTGTGTTTGGAGAATAAAACTTTTAGGTGATAATGAATACTAAATTGGGTTTGGGATATAGATCACCTAGTATATTTAGAATATTCAGAGTCAGGTGGAATTGTTATGAATATTGTGACCATAATAGGATTGAGGATTTTGATTTTAAGGTCATGCAGGTGTCGGCGTACACCTGATGGTCTCCAGGATTAAAGCGTACGTACGGGAGTCTGTGACCTGCCTCGGCACCTCCGTGGTAGGGGCTCCGACCCACCCAATTAGACACCTTCCATTGGGTTTACAAGCTTGACCTCTTGGACACCTTTCCAAGAGTGTCCATGACTAGTGTGTTTAGTTAGACTTTAGTCGAATATGTTAAGTATGGTAACAATACACAAGGATCTGAAACGTACGGACGAACGAATGAATGATTATGCTCTTTGATAATTGTGGTTGCTAATTCTTCTGATATTGTATGATCATATGTTAATGGGTGCTAGTCTATGAGTTAGTTTTAGCGTTAGATACTTCCACTCTCCCTATTTTTACAGGCAGGGATCAAGGATTGGATGAGGAGCAGCCTGTAGGATAGTGAGGCGTGACGCTGGTGGATGGCTGATGCTATTTTATTTAAATTAAATATAGAGTGTTGAATTTGCTTATTTAAATTACTAGAATGTTGAATGTTGTTTTTGAAGGCTTCCGCATGTTTAAGTTATTTACTCCGATTAAAAGATGAATTGTTTTTCAATAAATATGAATGCTTATTTTATTTTTAAGTGTTTTTAAAATATTATGCATGTGAATACCAAATTCGTAAAGACCCGATTCGCTAACTCGTTGGTTCGGGTTACGCGGGTTGGGATGTTACAATAAGCTCATCTTCCATACACAATATCTCAATGATATGTTTTGTTCTTAAAACTCAATTATGCTCTTTAAATCCGTTCAGTGTGTGTAGTACATATTGTTGATCCAATAGTTATCCAATGGCGTGTGTGTATGGAACAATCCAGGTGTTTTCTTAAGTCTTCGAAAGACTTTTGTTTTGGATCATCGACACAATTCCTCATAGTCATAGTATATTCATTGTGGATTTTGTCTACACATATGTACTTTGGTTCAACCTTAGCAACTTATAAAATCTATCTCTATAGATTGAGATGTTAAGAGCATGACCATCATATTTTGCGCCCTCCATGGAGAAATTCTTACTCAACCAAGTGCGAGTATGAATGTCATTCTCCGTGAAAAATATTCTTGTTAATATTCGACACGAAGAAGATTTTTGTGCTCCCACTAGCCTTCTACAAGACTTATCATATACTTAATGAGCTCACAACAAATTATGATTAAATTCACATTTCAGCTCCTCGAAGATTGCCTTAATCAATAGATATATCACAAAATATCTCAACATTTAAGCCTGTTTCACGTCATGGCACGTTCTGACACGAGATTTTATGCTAGAGTTATAAATTAGGACACTATATATATATAATACCCCGTATTAAGATGGGAATGAGAAGAGCTCAAAAGGATTGATAATACTACTCATACAACCAAGATGCATCTTTTTTCGAGAGCTCATCACTTAGAAACTCCAAAGTTAAGTGTGCCTGACTTGGAGTATGATGGGTGACCATCCCTAAGAAATTCCTTGGGCGCGCATGAATGAGGACAAAGTGAGCGGGAAAGACTTGTGTTGGTTTCTGGGGCCAGTCTACAATCTTATGAGCAGACAATTACGGCCAGGGTGGGAGCCAGGGTGTTACAAATGGTATCAGAGCAACCCTACGATTGTGTCAGGCCAAAAGAGCTTAGTTCACCTAGCAGGGATAATCTAAGAGTGTGCGCGAGAGAGACTTGTGTTGGTTTGTGGGGCCAGTCTACAATCATAAGAGCAGATACTTACGGCTATGGTGGGGGTTGAGGTGTTACACTCTAAGGCATAAGCTCATCTATAACTAGTATGATGTTCTTTCCACGAGTCTTGATTAAAGATATCTATCCTTTTGATCATATCTAAATATATTAATGCTTCCAAAAATTTCTTTCAACTTCATTCAAAAGTCCTTCAAACAATTTGAAAACTCTTGATATGTTCTTCCTAAGAATCATATGTCATTTTTATCGAATAAATTAATAAATATGATGAAGTAATAATATTCAACATTAGCTGTTTTATGAAGGCCGTATACATCGATATGTATATCTTTCAATGAATAAGAATTGCATGCATCATTTGATTCAAATCATATGATTCCATTATCAACGACCCTTAAATGGGAATTTATTACTCGTTCGTTTAGCCTACACAATTACGCTAATGCCAAACAAGATCTAAAACCGTTTAGTTTGAATCTTTTGGTAAAATTGTTATATATGCACGTATACTTTCATAGTAAAGTATGTAGATCATTTGATCAGTTTAGCATAAGACATATCATTTCTATAAATGGATCAATGATTTCTCCTTTATTCAAAATAATAAAAACAATCAAAACATAATATAGTGTATTGCTAAAAATAGAACAAACCAATTGTCAATTCGATAATTGAAAATGTTTCAAATGATAAAAATTAAAACAGGATATCAGAACTGCAACACTTGTGCCCATCAGTCACCCATGTTCAGTTCCTCTCAAGCCAACCATCTATTTTTCCTCAATCCCTACAGCGATTTGAATTTGTAAGTATCATATACCTACAAAGAGTTGTACATTTGTTATTCTCTAAAAACAATTGTACCTGACCCTCCTTCTTCTTTTTGGAAGCCATGTAATCTTTACATTTCCTCCTCCAGTGGCATTGCTTGCCACAATGATGACATATAGAGTCCTTCGCTACTCCACCTTTTAGCTAAAGGTTAAAATAAGTGGATTCAGGCTTGGTTTTACCTTTGCCTTTATTTTCAAATTTCTTAAATTTCTTCTTCTTACTCTTTCTACCTTGAACAAGAACGATGAAACTACATTTTCCCTTTGTAAGGCTCTCTTCAGCATTTTGTAACATCTTAAAGTGTTCGTGCAGGGGCTTATTAAACCCTTGCATCTCATAATTAACGAAAAACACAATTCTGGCAACGATTACAGAATAAGGTCTGTTGCATGTTCTTGTCTCAGTGAGAAAACCCAACTTCTCAAGAGTTTTAACATAACCGATCATCTTCAGAACATGCGGGCCGATAGGGTTTTCAACAAATAATTTGCAACTGAAGAGTGCCTTAGAGATTTGGAATCTCTCATGCCTAGCTTGCCTTTGGTAGAGCTGCCTCAAGTGTAGGATCATATCGTACGCCTTCATGTTGTCATGATGTTTCTGTAGCTCAGATGTTATAGTAGCTAGCATGAGACACGCCACTTCAATGTCATCATCAACATGCTTGTCATATGCTTCTTTAACTGCTCTAGAAGCAGTAGCAACATGTTGAGAAGGAATGGCGTTTTCAAGCACATACTCTTTCTTCTCAAGGAAAAGAACAATAGTGAGATTGCGTTGCCCGTCCAAGAAGTTGGACCCGGTCAACTTGTCTTTGTTTAAGATTGAATGCAAGGTGAGGTTATGATTGTTACTGGTCATCTACAGATGATTTGTAAAATAGTTATTATCAAAAATTAAGTAATTAATTAAGACTTTAATTAAAAACTCTCCCACTATTTTAAACAAATCAACCACCCTCTATAGTCAAATTAATTATGTAGGAACAATTTTCAATTGTAATCACTATTACAATCCTTGGTTTGTTAGGTTATTTTAAATAAAATTTTATTAAGATCCTTGATCCTTATTTTATCTAACTATATTTGTGATTTGTATCTTGCCCTATAATTAAACTATTTCAGGTATATACTATTTCCAATTTGTAACACTTTGCAACTCTCGCTGGATGAACTAATTTTATTTATTAACCTAACGGCCTCCGTCTAAGTCATTCATCCTTTTACCATGACTTAGTTAAGTCCAACCCGAGGTTTGTTAGTATCCTTTGTTACAGATTTCGTAACTCACCAACATAAACCAGGCATCCTGCTTTGACATGTCCGCTACTGATCAAAATTGGCCTTGACGAGTGAGCATCCGTCGGAAGGCACAGACTTAATATAGTGAGGGATTTAAAATTTGGTCTCACCTATGAAATGCGTCACGCACATGCACTAGCTTATACATACATTCATACATAACATGCTTATATATAAATAAATAAACTTGATATGGTTGTGGCTCTTAAGAAAAATTAACAATAGCGTCATTTCTTGAGATCTCTATCTCTGGCCCATCATGTTCTTTCTCTTTAGAGATTATTTCGTCATCATAAGCTCTTCGGCCTCACTATTCTTTTCTTGAATGTAACGATTACATAATTTCAAAGAAAAAAATCCTTGCGTTACATACATGCAAGGGGTATGAAGTTCAAGAGAGAGATTTACATTCAGAAATAAAGAGATAAGGCACGACACGCATGCCGTATTTAAAAAAATAATAATACTGAGCCACAACCATACACCATGCTTAAAATCCATCCATCACATGCAAATAGTTAGGCAAATACCGGGCGAACCACGCTCGCGATAGACCTAGTTTATTCTATGAGAAAATAAAGTATAATGCTAAAACAAAAAATTAAACTATCAAATAATTTAATTAAAAATATTTTAAAACTCCATAACATTCAAAACAACATTTTGAAATTTCCAGAATTTTAAAATAATATATTATTATAAATATAGGTATTAATTTCAAAATTAGGATTTTAATTCAAAATAAATACTTATACCTTTTGAAAATTAACAAATAAATTCCACAATGTGTGTTTGGATTTATTTAATATGAGCATGGAATCGGGAGACATAATGAGAATGGTTTGCACGTTCTTATGGCCCAATACTTTAAAAATTTATTCTAAGTAAGAAACTTAATTTGGAGAAGAGAAAATGTATAAAATAATCAAAAACTAAAATGAAAATAAAAAAATTGATTAACGTAGCTTTGAAGGATGTAATTAAAAAAGAAAAAAATTAGATTAAAGTGTAACTATATTGGGTATAACTGAACAAGTAAAACATTAATGTGGTAAAAACATAAAAAGATAAATGTTAAATATAACTGATATATTACTCTTATTATTTAGAATATCTTGTTTCCTTGTGTACCTAGACTTTATCTTTTCTCGTGTATGTATAAGTACCTCAACCTATGATGAATAAAGTACTCAGCTTACAACACGTTATCAACATGACTTGTAGCAAAAGGATTTTCCCAAATATCAGGAGTTGGTTATGAGGAAACGTATTCCCCTGCAGTGGATGCGGTAACCCTTATATTCTTAATCGGCTTCACAATATTAGAAGGACATCGGATAAAACTTATGGATGTTGTTTTAGCATATGTCAGAAGCATTAAAATCACTACCTCAAGACATGTGTGCTATACAACTCAAAAGATCTTTATATGGTCTCAAGCAATCTGGTCGTATGTGGTATAATCGACTTAGTGAATATCTTGAAAGGCATGACTTTAAATTTGATGTAATTAGACCATGCATTTTCATAAAAAGATCACTCTTCAAATTCACTATTGTAGCAGTTTATGTTGACGATATAAACATCATTGGATCTCCTGAAGAGATGGAAAAACTGTTGAGTTTTTGAAGAGAGAATTTGATATGAAAGACCTTTGCACAACAAAATTATGTCTCAGTTTGCAAATCGAACATTTGTGCAATGACATATTCGTCCATCAGTCAAACTACATCCAGGAGATGTTAGTACGTTTTAATATGGAGAAAGCACATCTGTTGAGCATACTCATGGTTGTGCGATCCTTAGATATACATAAAGATCTTTATCGCCCCCAAGAAGAGGATGAAGAAGTACTTGGTCCAGAAATACCTTATTTAAACACGATCGGTGCCATCATGTATCTTGCAAACAATACAAGGCCTGACATTTCTTTCTCAGTACATCTATTAGCAAGATTTAGTTCAAACCCAATACGTAGACATTGGAATGGGATAGAGCAAGTATTTTGATATATTTGTGCGACACGAGACTTAGGTTTCTTCTGCCAAAAAGATGAAAGTCCAAACTTGTAGGGTATGCTAATCCTGGATATATATCGATCCACACAATGCACGTTCTCAAAAAGGTTACGTGTTTACATATGGTGGTACAACAATTTCCCAGAAGTCAACCAAGCAAACTCTAACAACAACATCATCAAATCAAGCTAAATTGGTAGCACTTTATGAAGCTAGTCGAGAGTGCGTCTGATTGAGATTGATGATTGATCATATACAAGGAGTGTGGGGATTGGAACAAATCAAGAAGAATCATATAATTATATATGAAGATTATGTAGCATGCATAGCTCAGATTAAGGAAGGCTACATCAAGGGAGACAGAACGAAGCACATCTCACCTATGTTTTTTCTCAACATATAACCAACATAAACAATGAAAGATTGATATTTTTCAAGTCAAATCAAGTGAAAATTTGGAAGACTTGTTCACCAAATCTCTTCCCAGACATACTTTTGAGCAACTCATAAAGAAGATTGGACTCTGCAGACTAAAGGAGATAAATTAGTTTGAGGGGGAGTATTATACATGCTGTACTCTTTTTCCATTGACTAAGTTTTGTCTCACTTTGTTTTCTTAGTAAGGATTTTAATGAGGCAGCATAACTGATCCTACAGTATCAATTAATATAGGTCATGAAGAACCTAGCCAACATTATTCAGTAGCTTAATGTTGTTAGTGTATAATGAAGGATCATATATCTGAGAGGGGGGGGGTTAATGTGGTAAATATATTACTCTTATTATTTAGAATATCTTGTTTCTTTGTTTATCTAGACTTTACCTTTTCCACGTATGTATAAATACCACGACCTATGATGAATAACGTACTCAGTGTACAACAATAAAATATTAATCTAGTACCAGAGTATTTGTTACGTGTTGGTGACCTAGAGACCTCTTAAAGATATCTTTTTGTTACAATATCTAAAACCAGGGTACTATTTTGTTACATATTAAAGCTAGAATACTTTTTTGTTACAACATAAGTTGGGTACCTCTAATGTAAATAAGCCTATTATTTACTCGTGTTCATTGTTTTTTTCAAAAATACTTCAGGTACACCAAGTTTTATCGTAATGTGTCTCGACACCCTCTTCACTATAGATTTTTAAGTGCAAATGAAAAAAATAACTCGATTACGACATGTGATATAACCTGGTGTACTTATAGATTTTTTTTCAAAACCCCCAATGTGTTGTACGAACTAGGGGCGTAAATGAATGTTAATTGGATCAGTTGTGCCATTACCAATTTCTTATCTGCTTATTTTTTTAGATATCGAATTCAGATACAAATCTTGACATATGCTAAAAATCAAAACAGTATCTGCATTCATCAGATATTGGTTGGATATCAGATATATTTGTATCCATCTCTAAATTTACTCAGTCAAATTAAACTATATACATAGTAGTATATATAAGTACTTTTGATATATTCATTCAATTATAATTCGTTATGGAATAATAATATTTTTTTATATTTAGTAATCTTTAAAATTCTACGAAACTCTATATGGTAAAAAGTATTACATGTTACAGATACACACATGTTCATGTGTCTACGCATATATTTTAGACATAAAGATGTATACTTTAAGATGTTAAAAAAAACAAAAAAACAAAATAAATATTTAAAAAAGACACTATATAACGGATCAGATACAAGAATAAATAATTACTCAACGGATGTATATGCAGAGTATATTATAGATGGTTTGAATGTATGATTTCCAAATTCATATCCGTTTACCAATCTGATTTCCTTAATCAATACGGATAATAATCGCTTTAAACGGATGCATATATTTTTCATATAAACGGATAAAGATGCAGACAGTAATCAAATTTTCAGTTATCCATTTATAGCCCTAGAACCAACCTGGTTAAGCATGCAGTATATATTATATAACCGGCTATACGATTCTTCCCATACTGCTAACGTCTAATTTGAGAGGAATTAGTGGTGGCAATGAAGAGGACATCCGCGCCGAGGGAACGATGTAGCACCGACAACCAGGAATGGAATCGATGGGGAGGAAACCCTAGCTTGGTCAGCGATGAACACCGTGTCCATGGATGACTTGTAGCTGGCGCCGCTCTAATTGCGTTCGGGTCAGGTCTTCTACGAGGAAGAAAGAACGTCAATGACAGAAATCGTAGATTAAGGAGGGGCTGTAGAATTCAGGCTCCAGCGACTTATTGGGGTGGTATGAACGCTATGTTGTTTCAGAATGAATATTACATTTCTTTATAATGAGTAATACGTTATTTGAGAATGAACAATATGTTATTCGACTATTCGTAAATACTCCCTCCGTCCGGAAATGATGTTCCCAGTATACCTTTTTTTTCGTCCGGAAATGATGTTCCCAATCTACTTATTTTTTACCATTCTTCCAAAACTACCCTCTCTTCCTTTTTCTTTCTTTTTTCTTCCAGCCTTTCGTTTGGTTCTCCTTTCTCCTTGTGTGTTTCTTTTTCCCCTCTTTCTCCTCATTTTCATTTTTCTTTCTTCTCTCTCAGATTTGAGCCCCATTTTCTTCATCTTTTTCTTCTACTTTTTCTTCTTCTTCTTCTTCATTCTTCTTCTTTCTTCCCCACCTCTTTTTCCGATCGTCCCCCTCTTCGTTTCTTCTCATCATCATCATCTTCTTCTTCTTCTTTTCTTCCCTTTTTCTTCTAGATCTAAACAGATTTGTGACGAAATCACCCTCCGCCTCTTCCTCTTCTTCTTCCCTTCCTCGCAGGTATTGTCTTTCTTCCAAATCTGCGATGGAGGGGGATGACAACGACGGAGGAACTGGAGGTTGTGGTGGAGGCTGACGGCACTGTAGGTGTTGGTGGAGAAGGTGGGGTTGGCCGTGGTGGTGGGGGATGACAGCGAGCGACAGACTCACAGTTGTGGTGGGGGGCTTGTTAGCCTTGGTTTGCTAAGCCTCGTGTTTTGATGTTAACAAACAATATAAGAGCTTAACGTTTGTTTAAGTGTTTCAGGAAAACAAGAATCCATTAAGATTCGGTACTCAAGAATGAAGTCGAAACACTAAAACTAGCGTAGAATATAGGTAGAAACCAATGTAAGGATATGACTTTATATACCTATATTCACAAGCTCAAAAGCACTCACAAAATATGTTTAAAACCATCACATAAACACTTTCAAATATCTAAAAGGTTTTAAACTCAAACACGAAGGATTAAGGGAATTTTGGAAAAATCAGAACAAAGTCACGGTACCCCTAGCGGTACGCCACACGGTAGGGTATACCGCCTACACGGTACCCCCATACCGTGTAACGGTACCTAGGTACCGACGGTAGGCGTAGACGGTTGGCCGAACCCGTCCTAACCAGGTACCGCCAGAGGCGAAGTGAACTTTTGGAAGACACGGTACTCCCACACGGTAGGCCGTACCGTGTCACGGTACCTAGGTACCGGATGACACGGACCCCCCTACCGTGAAGGGTACCGGATCCGTTACAGCACTGTAGCAAAATTGCCAATTTGAATTAAATCAACCCTAATCACCACCCAACGGCTAATTAACATCTTCCACTATAAATACAAGCCTAATCCTTCATAT